CGTTTTCCTTTTTTGGTTCCCTTTCGATTGCCTGCTCGTTTTCTTTCACCTTTTCTTCTCTTTCGGCCTGCCCCCGGCTCCACTGTCTTTTCTTCTTATGTTTCGTTTGCGTGCTTCTTTCCTGCTTCCTCGTTGAAGCTCTCGTTTTGCTGTTTTGTTGCCCCTCGCCCCCCCCCCACCCAGCCCTCCTCCCTCCCCGCCCCCCCGGCCCCTTTTCTCATCCGTCTTGTCTGCACTTCTTTTGGCTTGTTTTCCTTCCTTCCCCCCCTCCCCCTCTTGCTGGCCCCCCCTTCCTCCTCCGGCCGGCCAGCCCACCCTTCCGTGTTGTCCTGCCCTCGCGTGTTTTTTTCGACCTTTTCTCCTCTTTCGGCCTGCCCCCCACCGAGCCGGTTCTATGCCTTTTCTTCTTATGTTTCGTTTGCGTGCTTTGGCTCTCCTGCTTCCTCCTTGAAGCTCCGTCGTTTTGCTGTTTTGTTGCCCCTCGCCCCCGCCCCCGCTCAGCCCCTCCTCCCTCCCCCGTCTTGTCCTGCCCCCCCCTCCCCCCTTCCTCCACCCTCCTTGCTGGCCCCCCCTTCCTCCTCCGGCCCCCCCTTCCTCCTCCGGCTTCCCCTAGTTTTTGTGTTTTATCCTGCTCGTTTTCTTTCCTCTTTTCTTCTCTTCCGGCCTGCCCCCCCCCGGGCCGGCTCCACTGCCTTTTCTTCTTATGTTTCGTTCGCGTGCTTTGCTCTACACTTGCCACACTTCTCCAAGTAGCCCTGACCCTGCAACTAAATTACACCTGCGTTGAGAGGCCCTTCGCAGTTTGGCCCCTGCTCTGCGCCCCTGCTGGCCCTACTGCAGCCGGCGGCCGAGGCGGGCTGCGTAGCGTTAGAATTATGTATACATGTATATATGTATTGCCAAAGACAGGCAAACAGACACGTCTAGACAACCGAAATGGCCATCAGCTGGAGCGACTCTCCCCGGATGCACCATCTTGCAATTCCGTTTGCCCTGCAATCACAGACGCGTCGTTGGATGGAGATTTTGTGATGCACTCCGGCCCTCATGGTCTGACTGCGCATTCGCCTTTACAAGCAGGGATGACACACACACACACACAGACACATATCCATGCGCACAAACTACAACAAGTCATACTGTCAGGCATACAAAACATGCTACAACATGGCCAAAGATGAAGAGCACAATGTCGTACCAAGCAAGGTGGCCCCAAACTACACAGCGCCACAGTCTTACCGACCGTACGATGCTGTGGCATAAACATACAACACAAAGAGAAGGAATTTCGCATGTCACAGCCTGAATCAAACGAAGAGACGGACGTGTGCAGCCATGCTATGTGCTTCCCGGCGCAGCTGTCTACAACTGTGTAAACAGACCCGCCTTGGGTTCCCACTTCCACTCGTCTCAACAGCAAGCCCCGCGACTCCAGTTTGCTCCGTGGGGTCCTAAGACGGCAATCCGTCCGAGGCAGCGCGGCAGTGCGGGAAGCGGATGGACTGATGGACTCTGGCAAGACCGCGACTTCTCTTCGTTGGGCGGGTCGTACCTTCATGGGGCCATGGCTGTCTTCTGGCCATGGAGGTGAGACACAAACTACTCCGAATCGATGAAGGGCCGATTCAGAACATCCTCCAGAACGTGGCGGTCGAAGCCTCGGGGGTGTGCGGCTTGGTCCCCCCATCTCCCCTTTCTTTCCAAAAGGTGCTGCTGGCACAGCTTCAGCGTCTGTGAGGAATACTTGAGATCTTGGTGCTTCCGACCAAGCCAAGAAGTCTCGCGAGCAAACTTCAAAGCCTTGAACATGGCTTCGGGTGAGGGTTGCCAGAGGCCTTGCACACTCCGACGCTCCGTCCAAACCCGTGGCCCCCCATGTCTGAGATAGAGATTTGGCGACTCAGAGTTTCTCTGCAAATTCAGCAAGTCCTCGATTTGTCTGGGCCTCATCTTTCGTAGTGAAATCTCGAACTTCTCACCGCTTGCCCATTCAGCGAGGAGCTCCGGATGGTCTAGCTTCGAATGCTCTGTCACGACTACCACTTGAGGATTGCGCTCCTTCCAAGTCGGCAGCAGATGGCGCAGGTAGAAGCGAGTGCCCAAACTGCTTCCACCCGTCTCGCTGTAGCGGATGATTACCCGCCGCAGGTGCCACGTGCCATCAGCCGCATTCATTTCTGGCGACGAGACAGCCTACGCAGACGGCATACCATGCTGCCATCAGGCATGCTGGTCATCTTGAGCCTTGTGTTGTTTCGGGAAAATGCATGAGATATCTCCGTCCGTCCTTCTGTCACATCACAATCAACTCAGCAAGCCCGATCCTTCCCCAACTGCTTGAAGATGAACTGGAGTTGGCCTGGTCCTCGGTCTCAGAGCCAACTTCTATGTTCTCACTCGTAACGACAGCAAACCCTAAAACATAACCATACCAGCCATGTCTCGCCATCGAGTTCCTCCGCGGCTTTTGCCGCTGGTCCCTTTGCTGGACTTCCGCTATCTCTACCTCTGGACCACATTTTAACAACAAGCTCATACGACCAAGCGCATGGCAGCATTTTCTGGAGGATCCGCCTAGCAACAGTCGCATCTCGCGCTCCTCTTGCAGATTCTTCATCTTTCTCAAGCTTGCAGCATGCGGCCCAGCCTTCATCCCAGCCTACTGGCCTCAAGGCTACCAAGGAAGACAACCTCGGCCCTAAAAGCCAGCAGCTTGTGCTCAAGAGCCGGGCAAAGCAGGACATCCGCTGCACAACATGCCAGGAGTTCGCTTATGCTTAAGGCTTAAGGTTTAGATGGTTTAAGGTTATGTGCTTCACTGCAACAGAGTCCATGCAAGTGCAACACCGAAATATCACCGGAGACACCTTTTTCCCACTGCTGGTGAAATGGCACCGCACCCCGGCATGGGCGGCTTCTGGTTGCATCACAGTCGGGCTCGCTTGAGTGGGGTTTGTGGGAATTTGGGAGTTTTTGTTGGGGTATAACATCCCATCATACTTTTTATATGATATAATACTGTAGTATGTTATTGACATGATCCTCTTCCGTCCGTTGGGAGTTCATCTCCGACTCTGGGAGGTCGGCTCGGACACATGCGGGCAGTGAAACATCTTCCCAGTGGGTCCTGCCTTTAACATCTGCGCGAAAGTCCTAAGACACGCTGCAAAGCAACCCGACCTCAAGGCCCTGAGCCCTGCATAGATGCTGCATGGATCTTTCTGCACAAACCTGTTCAACCTTCCGTTCACAAATGCCTCGCAGCTGTACACCTTCATCGAAGCTCTCGCACACGTCCACTGGCAGCAGGGAACTAGCCTTAGCTGCGGAACCCACTCCGCAACTCCCAACCACAAGAACCACAACAACAACAACCCAGATGGACCAGAAATCACACATTCGAATGAAAGCCTGTCCATGCACATGCACAAACACACGCACAGAAACAACCGTTGTCGATCAACGCTGAGCCCCTAGCGCTCCCGGCGGCTCCCTTTGGCCTCGCTTCCTGGAGCGCCAGGTTTGATCCAAACCTCAGAAGGCAGAAGGACGAAGTTCGAGGCTTGAGGGTGCCGGGCTACCTGCACAACACCGGTGCTCAGGGCGGGTTGACAGGAGTTGGTGTCACAGCGATGTGCACCGAGCGTGCAGCCGAGTCGTACTTGTCGCGTGACCGGGACCTGCGCATTGAGACCGTTCTGGGTCCATCTTGAGAAGGTTTCGGCGCTCACACTCGGACAATCCAGGCGAGGCATGCGGTTCGAGGTCAGAAGTCAGATGAGTGAAACATCACTAGTTGAGGTGTTTCAGAAAGATTACCTGGGTGCGTTGAAAATGCCTAGATATGTCTAGATGACCTAGCTGCTCACTCGCCACTCAAGATCCCAATCTCCCAACCAATCTAAGTAAGTGGCTTTGGGATTTGGGACCTTGAAGGCTACTAACAGATCACAGTAAAATGGGGTTGAGGAAGGTTTAGGTGCTTCGATGCACCTTGCGAAAGCACACACTCCTAAACCTGTCTTGCGTTGTCCGAACACGAAGGCCATGCTAGAACAGGGAACCGAATTGAAGTCTTCCGTTAACTCAAGAAGCCGCCGGAGTACTGTTTTATTTCTACACGGCCTGGAAGGCGTACGTCGCCGGCCGCCGGACGAAGGACCCCCAAATTCCGCTCTTCGGTACCTGCACAGCGCCATATAGTGGGGCTTGTAAAGAAATCGATTACGCCTGCCTCCTCTTCATCTCCGAGAGGCGGCGGAAATGCTCCGCCTAAGGGGGACTTTTCCGGGAAACTTGCCGGGTCGTTAAAAAGCCGCCGCCGGGGGCCAGACCACCTCTCCTGGAGAGTGAACACGGGGCCCCTGGCATGTTTGCACATGCGCAACAGCCTCCCTCCTCCGAGATGAAATCACGCAGGCGGCGCAGAAGGATCTGCTAAAGCAGCTCGGAGGCTTATGGGATCCTGCCAGCACAAAAAGCTGAGCAGCGAGGTCAAGAACTGAAACGATTCTGCTATGTTGCATGATACTATATTCTGCTCTTACAACATACTATAGTATACTATAGTATACTATATTGCATTAATTAATATGTTTTTAGACAGACGGTATGTTATAGTACAATATGTTATATCATTCTCATCAAAGCACAGAACGACCGCCCGACAGCCCTGGCCCTGGCCTTGGAGTCGGGCGAGGCCTTCAAAAAAAAAGCGGACACAAGCACCGGACCGGACCGGGGCAGATGCGCGCGCCTTCCGGGATTTCCTATCCGGAGCGGCTGGGCCTCCATAAGCAGAACGCGCCGTGCTCCATGAGTCACAAGTTCAAGGGCGCGCAGGCGCGGGAGGCCAAGATCTCCGGGCGTCGAAGGTTGCACAGGCAAGTCCACAAGGGTGAAACTATCACAGAATGACAGAATACTCTTCTGGTTGGAGGAAGATACATCTCTTTCAGGGGTCGACCGGGCGAAGCAGAGACTGCCACCGCCTCGCGCTGTCAAAAATCATTACGAGTTGCTTCTGCTGTCAAAATCCGCCCTGAGTTCTCCGCCAACTTTGGCACTGACCTGCCGAGCCCGACGGAGTGCTCAGGCCACGTGCTGGCCTGCGACGACCTGGTCTTCTGCTTTTCAGCCAACTTTCTGTTTCGATGATCCTGCAAGGAAGAGAGGCGTCCGAAGAGACGCCAACAGAGCGCGCCATAAAATGGAGTCTCCTCGTCATCGTCCTCGTCTGCCATGGCAAAAGCCTGCCACGCACCGCAAGCGTTTTTTGGCGACCTGATGGCCACCTGGCACTGGGCTTCTGAGGCCCGGGCTCCTTTCAGCTTCTGCTGGCGCGCGACCTGGCGAGCTGCGGAGCGCCGTGGGCCGCGCCGGAGCCGCGGCGACAAACTCTTTTGGCTTTCGGCCTTGCGCTCCTCCTCCGCCCGCTTTTGCTCCTCGCGCAGTCGGCGCTCCTCTGCCTGCCACGACGCACTTGGCCGTCTGCATTCGAACGGATCGAACGCTGAGACTCTGGCCCACTTCGCTTCCTGCTCGGCCCACCGTTTGCCTGCACAATACGGGTTGCTCGTCACAGCCCAAGCAGCGCAAGCGAAGGCTCAGCCCTGAGGGCAGCACGGGCTTCTGCCTCCTCCGCCTCTTTCCTTCGCTTCTCCTGTCCAGGAAGTCTGTGGCCGTCGCATGTAGCAAACCTGATGCTTTCTGCTCGCGCGGGCTGGTAGATTGTAATCCTCGTGGCCACCGCAGACATGTCCTTGAACCCTGGGTGCCACTCCGAACTCCAGAACTCGAAGCCGATAAGGCTGCTGAAAGAAGCAGCACGAGAGGAACGCACACGTGAACGAGTCGAAAAACGGTGAGGAGGGAACTGTCATCCCGAAAGTTGACGTGAGTTGCACATTTCGGCATTACTCGGAGCTCCAGACCCTCGGGCAGCCCAGCACGGGAACACGAGGCTTCCCGCGGCTGCTGGCCTCCGCATCCTTCACCACCTTCTGTGCTTTGGCATCGGCCTCCTTCTTCTCCCGAACTGCACAGCAGAGTGAAACCCTAAACCCGCGTGGATCCCATCACGGAAACCCTTATACATGTAGTACCTGCAAACGAATTGAAAGATTTGAAAGAAGCCCCTGTTCGGGGCCATGGCCATGATGGCCATGTGGTCGGCTCTGAGCACCCGACGACGTCGCTCCTCAGAGCCCTCGCGACGCTCGCGCTCCTCGGAACGAATGCTCGGCGACCTCTCAGCCGAGTTTTCGTGGAAGCTCTCAAAGTCTCCGAAAAAGGCCAAAGGCTTCCCTGCCTTCTCTGCTGCCGGCTTCTCTGGAGCCTCAAAGCTTCAGGACTTCAGAAGCTCCGTCGACTGTCTCAAGCTGGGGCAGACGCTGCTTTGCAGCTTTGAGTTTGGCAATCTCAGCCCTACGAGCTGCTTCCGCTGCTGCTTCTGCCTCCTGCGACGCTTCGTCCCGAGGCGCAGCACTGAAGCTCTCGCCCACCCTCGCACACCTTCTGCTTCTGCAGCCTCTGCTTGTAGGCCGGATTCCGTCCTATCATGTTCAACATACCACCCATGGTCCAGGCCCACTCTGCCTCTGAGCCCAAAGCTCGATGTGACAAGCCCAGGGATCGGAGCATCCCCTGTGCCGGCCCGGTGGGACATCGCCGGAAGACCTGACCACAGCCCTGCTGGTGATCACTGCAGCTCTCCACTACAAAGCATGCTACTGGAGCACACTCAGGATAGAGGTTCAGGGTTTTGCACAGCAGCGAGCACAAGCCGTGGAAAAGCACGACGAGACCCAGCCGAGAAAAAGGCCAGGGCAACAAGCACGGCCAGACGGTGAGATTCAACAAGGGCAGACTTCAATCAAAGACACGCTTCCAAGGGCTTCGGCAATGACTTTCCACTTCACACCTGCAACTCCACCCCCCGATTTGCCATCCGCATCAGTGAGTCAATCTCGCCCCACGCATCCCTCATTGTGCTGCGTCAGCGGGCAGCTTCGCCATAGCCTTGTTCTTCATCTGATTTGCCAAAGTCGGCAAGTCTGTCGGTAAGGACACTGGCGTGCCGCAACAAACGACCCAGATCAAAAGTCATATCAAGGTAAACAACACCTCCACGCCCTCATTAGCCCGGTTGGTCACAAGGTGGAGGAGCACACTGAGTACACAGCAAAAATGAAATGCTGAGGCTCGGTCCGCCAGCGAGTTTGTGTCTACCTCGCCATCTTCGGAAGCCGAAGCGGCTGCAGCACCCAACCCTTGGGGTTTCAGCTTTAGCGTTCAGCGCTTCTGAGGTTTCAGAGTTTTTTTCCAGTCGCACCGCAGAGAACTCGTCCGAAACAAGTCGCAAGAACAGAAGTCTGCAAGTCCAGGGTCTCAAGAAGGTCGCTCTCAAAACAAGTTTGAGAGTTGAGCTGCGGGGTGTTTAAGCTTCAAGGCCAGGCTTCAAGGTTTGGGGCTTCAACGGGGGCTCCGTGAC